TCCGCAACTTGATTGTTGGAATCAACGTCTTCTATAATCGATAACGTTTGCTGGTTAAATTTGTGATACTTGGTACATTTATTGATTCTTAAAAAGCTTTCGTACTTAGATTTATGCCTGTTTTCTAAATCCGTTTGGTTCTATGCACTGATGGGTTTTCAACATTGGTACACTTCTGAACGACTTCTCAATATAAAGTATTTTTAACCAAAATTATTTGGAAACTTTACTAATTGTTGTGAAGTAATATTGCTGTAATCCATGTTCAACATTGCTTAGGAATTCGAAATTTTTGTTGCCATACTCCCGTGTCCCGGCCAAATCTGCTAACTTGACGCGGTGGTCGGGCTTGTCTATCGTGATAACCCAATCGAGCTATATTGGCTGGAACATATGTTCCTGTAGGTTCTACCATGCCAGGAAGGTCGATTGGAGAACGGTAAAACTAAAAGCAGCAACTCAAATTCTGAGGGCGAAGTCGTACTGTTGACAGTAAAGAGTTGTGACAGCAGTAATGTGTTTCCCTCGGACAACCAGCATGACAGCGATGCTGCCTTCCCACAAGGAGGGGTGGGGTTAGAAAAGGTCGACCCTAAAATTGTCACACCTCACCTTACCTCACGGATTTCCGTCTCCGTCGGTAAGGCTCTTTGAAGCACGGAGATAACTCATCAAAAACCTTCCACAAAATAGCTGTGCGCGACCGGCCTCAAGCAGTTGTCCCTTGGGCTCTGCGGAAACGCTCCTAGGTCGTTGAGACCAACCCTAATCCAATTTTACTTTCAGGTTCCTCAGGAAATACCCTTCCACGGTGTGGGCAGCCGGGAAGTGATATCAGCCCTCATACTCGTAACAGCGCACGAAACCAAGTTGATCACATTCAAAACCATCCTTCACCTCTTAATACCTCTCTTATTTCCATGACTAATACTCTTCACGTTTCTTTATCACCTCGCACCGCTAGGGCAAACGATTCGAGTACTCAGAACGTTGTTCCTGGTCTACTGAAACCACGCTCTAAACTACACGTAGGAGCTTTTAACGTACGAACACTGTGCCAAATAGGACAACAGGCTTCCTTAGCTAGGACTTTAGAATCCCGCGCCATCGATGTGTGCTGCGTCTCCGAAACGCGCATACAAGATCCGAGTGATGTCATTCATCTGACCTCACCATGCCAAAATAAAGAACCGACTCGATTCACACTTCGTGTATCTGGAAGCTCTGATTCTGCTTCCCGTGGCCTCGCCGGCGTAGGCATAGCATTGAGTCCTAGGGCACTCTTAGAGTGGATCCCAGTAAACAGTCATTTGTGCGCTGTCCGACTAAACGGAACAGTAAGAATCCGAAAAGATAGGGACACTCGTCGTTGCCTCTTCGTCGTCTCTGCCTATTCTCCTACTGACTGCAGCGCAGATGATGTAAAAGATGAGTTTTACAGAAAGCTCTCCGACGTTCTCCGAAAAGCTGGGCGCTCAGATGTAGTAATAATGGCCGGTGACTTTAATGCTCAAGTAGGTAAACTAAGCGATAGGGAAAGACACCTGGGTGGATCTTATGGTGTCGTGGCTCAAAGAACAGATAACGGCGACCGTCTGTTGCAGCTATGCACGGATAACCGCCTCTTTCTTGCAAGTACTAACTTTAGGCATAAGGAAAAACATCTTTTAACATGGAGACCCCCTAATTCGTCCCAACGTTGGACCCAAATAGATCAAATCGCTATCAGCCACCGATGGAGGGGCTCGATAGAAGACTGTCGCTCATTCTGGAGCACATGCTTAGATTCACATCACGCTCTAGTACGAGCGCGTATTTGCTTGCGTCTTACTGGACGTAGGAAAGACGCTGCAAGGAAACCTCTTAGGGCCCTACTTACTGATAGTCAAGCTAAGAGTATATTTCAGGAACAACTAGGAAAACAGTTAGGCAGCCATGTATGTGATGCCCACCCCGAGGCAGCATGGAATGATATCCGAAAAGCTGTGGAAACAGCAGTGATATCTGCTAGTACGGTAACCCGTAAGGTTAGGGAGCAACACTGGATCGCAGCAGAATCTATCGCAGTGATAGATGCTCGGAAACTCATTCCACCTGATTCTGAACATAATGAAGAGCGGAGTCAGCTTAAGCGCAAGCTGACAAGAAGTCTACGCAATGACCGCGAACAGTGGTGGGTGGCGAAAGCAAGAGAGATGGAAAAGGCAGCGGCAATAGGTAATAGCAGACAATTGTTCAGACTCGTTAAGGAAACCGGTATTAGGAACCCGACTGTTAGCGAAACACTCTCAGAGAAAGATGGACATATTATACATGCTCAATCCAGGAGATTGGATCGATGGGCAGAATACTTTAGGGCTCAGTTCAACTGGCCTTCAGCCACACTTCGATTTCCCACGATCTCTAGTCAACCTGAGTGGCAAGTTAATGTAGGTCCTCCGTCTCTTTACGAAGTTGAAAAAGCCATAGGAAATCTGAAGCGAGGGAGATCAGCAGGCTCTGACAGATTTAATCCTGAGATTCTTATGGATGGTGGTCCAGTATTTGCAGTGAGATTAACTGGGGTCTTAGGTAGAATTTGGGAACTGGACGTAATCCCATCTGACTGGTCTCAATCACTGATTGTGCCAGTCTATAAGAAAGGACAAAAGTCCTCTTGTGCCAATCACAGAGGAATCAGTTTGACTAATATAGTGTCTAAAATATTAGCTTCAATAATACTTCGACGCCTAACTAAAGCTCGTGAAGAGCAGACTAGAGAAAATCAGGCCGGTTTTCGACCTGGACGTAGTTGTATAGACCACATATTCACACTACGTCAGGTCCTAGAATACAGACACACATTCAGACGCCCCACAATGGTAGTATTTCTCGACCTTAAGGCAGCATTCGACTCTGTTGATCGTAAGGTTCTATGGCAGTGTTTGTCACTGAAAAGAGTACCAAAGAAGTACATTAACCTTATTCAGGCTCTCTACTCGAATACAACTAGTAGAGTGAGAGCTTATGGCGAACTGTCATCAGAATTGATTATCTCAAGTGGTGTTCGTCAGGGCTGTCCACTCTCTCCATTATTGTTTAACTTTGTCGTTGACGTACTTTTAGAGATGACACATTCCTCATCTAAATTTCCAGGGGTTGAATTTCTACCGGGAGATTCACTTGTTGACTTAGAATATGCCGATGACATAGTTTTATTTGGTGAAGACGCTGACAAAATGCAGAGTCTTCTGACCACTCTAAGCAACAATGCAAGCATGTTCGGGATGCAATTCTCCCCCTCGAAATGTAAAATGTTGCTTCAGGATTGGGTTGCATCGACACCCGAACTAATGATAGGGAGTGAAGTAGTTGAGCGTGTCGACCGCTTCACTTATCTTAGAAGTCTCATCAGCCCTTGTGGTATGGTGTGTGAAGAAATCTCAGCACGAATACAGAAGGCTCGACTAGCTTTTGCTAACTTGCGTCATTTTTGGCGTAGAAGAGATATCCGTCTATCAACCGAAAGACGTGTTTACTGCGCAGCAGTTCGTTTCGTGGAAGTGAAACATGGCCGGTAAGAGTAGAGTATATTCGTAGACTACTAGTTTTTGATCATAGGTGTCTTCGAAATATTGCTCGTATATCCTGGGACCATCGAGTAAGTGATGCAGTTGTTACGAAACGGGTACTAGGTAAGGATGGCAAATCAATTGATGACGTAGTGAAACTTCATCATTTGAGATGGTTGGGATATGTGTTACGTATGCCCAACCACCGACTGCCCCGACGTGCGATGTTCAGTGGTATAGGAGTAGGTTGGAAGAAAGGTAGGGGCGGCCAAACCAAAAACATGGCACAAGTCCATGAAGTCACTGACAAGTGAACTGACTCATGTCGGTAGATGTAGACTACCTGGTTGGGGACCGCGAGATGATAGCAATCGATGGTTGGGGACCTTGAATGACATGGCTCAAAATAGTTTGCGATGGCGCAGGTGCATCCACTCTTTGTGTTCTCCCAAATTTTGATCTCCTGATTCCCCATTGTCTCTTTTTTCTCTTCTCAAGTTTATTTCACTGTATTATACTCTTTAAATAACATCTCCAAACAATAATCTTTCCGATTACTGCTTATACACTTATTAACTCTACCACTACGGGATTTGAATCGACTACTCTATCTCTGTGCTAATGTGGTGTGGCAACTCGAACTGATGTATGTACGTACGAAGTTCTATGTTGTTACTGACTGACTGATTGACTGATACCCCCATGTACGTGTCGTACTGCATCTGACTTACATAACTACAGGATAAGCTTGAGGTTGAACAGAAATTATAATTTCAATACACCAAAGACTATAAATTTCAAATATTTGAAGATTGGTAGGTAATTCTACTCCACTAGTTGCTTGAAATATTGATCTGCTCTTACTGTTTCCAATGTAAACGAACCAGACGGTCAGTCAATAAATAATTACAGATTAGAATTTTTCACATCAATATATAATCGATATATAATTGTGGTATTTGTACTAAATAATGATCCCTTTGCACTCGATTCAGAGCTTATTACGAATTCAAAATATAACACGTTCAGCTGTGTTTATTTAGTTCTATCCACCTTAAATTGCACTATTTCGGGAATTCTTAGTTATCAAATCAGGTTGGATACTTCTAATTATTATTATGGCGTCGCGATGGAGCCTTTAATTTGGCAGTTGGATATACATTCGAATTCGGAAGCTTTCAAGGATTAAATCGAAATGTTTGAAATCTGTAGTATGACCAGTAAAGATGTTAGAAATGATAAAATTGTGGCTCCATTTCCTTACATTTATCGAAAAGGATGCCTACAGCTCACTAAAAAATTGGCATTTCCAGATAAGCCTATTTCATTTCACAATGAAACTTTCGAAGAACCACCGTGGTGAGAGAAGAATTCAGGTGAGAAAGATCAATCTATCTAGTGCAAATTTACAGAGTGTGTTCATAGAATATGAGAACCGTACATTAAATACATCATCTGCAGATCTTATGTCATTTATCTCTTACAGACTTCATCTGTCATTCATTCATTCATTCCTGTCTTTATTTTGATTGCTTTTAGCTTTCTGTTCTATTCTCTTCACGTCAATCTTCTCAATCTTCCGCTCGCATGCATTCTATTTCCGATCGGCACTGCATACTACTTATATCTGTCAGCATAAGTAGCATATATCACACTACTACTAAATCATGTTCAGTGTGAAAACTTTGAATGTCGTGAAAGAGCGTAATTTCATGAAATGACTCGTCAGAATAACCAGAGAGTTTATCCCTGTATTTCATAAACTAGCAACCAAGTATAATTTTGGTGGTCAACTTCATGTCCATTTGGGTGATCGTTTAACTACATAAATTAACATACCAAGTCTGAAACGAGAGCTAATACAAATGCTGAGGTGTTCATTCCATGGTGCTAGGACTTCATGTATTAATTATGAGGTAGCTCATGAAACTAACTTCCGGAATATCAACAATTCTATCACATTATTTAGTTGTCCTAATCCTATTCGTACTCAAGATCATGACGGTAGACGTTTAAATAACTACAATAATCATTCTCGTGAAAACATGGGAGACAATGCATCGAAGAACTCCAAGGCAGTAAACAAAGGTAAGGTGGTGTTTGTGTGAACTAATGATTCCTTTGTACTTGATGTCTGCTTGATTTCGAATTCCAAATACAGTACGTTGGTTCGTGGTCACCTAGTCCATCTTGGTTAAATTGCATTATTTCTTGAATTCTCAGTTTGTACGATAATTTAAATGCTCCTACTTATCACATTGGCGTCGCGTTAGGGCCTGTGATGGAACATTCATTCAACTTCTGAAGCTTTTGAGGATTATTTGGAGAGATTTGAAATCTGGAGCATGACCAAATAATATATGAAGGGTGATAAAACTGTGGCACATTTCCTTACATTCATCGGAAAAGAAACCTACAGTTTATTAAAAACTTTGACATATCCAGAAAATCCCATATCACTTCCTTATGCAACTCTTAAGGACCTACTGTTAAATCATGTGAAGTGAACCAGTTTTGAATGCCGTGAGAGAGCGAAATTTCATAAGATGATTCGTCAGAATAACCTAAAGGTTTGGGAATTCATCCTCGGATCGCAAAGACAAGCTGCCAAATTGAATTTTGATGATCAACTTCATGTGCAGCTGTGGGATCGATTAACTGCAGGAATTAACACACCGGGCCTGAAAAGAGAGTTGTTAAGAATGCCAAACTGTTCCTTTCAAGATACTAGAACTGCATGTATAACTACGAAGCAGCGAAAGAAACTTGATATCCAGTCGATGAAACTTTCTAACACTTCGCTCAGTTGTCATGATGAAATACAATTTCAATGTCGATCAAACCTGCGTTTGTTTTTTAGTGATTCCTAATCTCGTCAAAATATGAAAGGTGATTCAATTAGAAATCACAAAGCAAACCACAAAGGTGAGTGCAAGTTTGGTAAATGTTTATCATGTGGAAAATTCCATTCTCCTAATTCATGTGTATTGGTATTTTTAGATCCTAACATTGCCGTACGACCCACTGAGTCCTCAATATTGGGGATTACTGGACATAGACTGGCCATACGAGGATGCTGTGAATTGCTAATAAGAGATTATAATTCTTCACACATACTTTGTGAATTTTTAGTTAGTGAAACAGGACTGTCAATACTGAAAAGTCTTGAAGTGAAATCAGATGGAAAGACCTCTAGAATATGTGGTTACTATAAATTAACACTGAACTCCCGTTTGTTAAAACAAACGTGCACGAAGGGTAGAAGTTGAAGATATTCTAAATCGACTTCATGATTCTAAAATGTTCTCGAAAGTTGATTTAGAAGATGTTTATCTTCAAATCCCTTTAAGTCAATCTTCATCTATTTTGACGACAATTAACACTCCTTTTGACCTGTTCAAATACAACTTCCTCCCATTTTGTCTAAGTTGTTCTCCAGCCATATTTCAGGAAGTTATGAATAAGGTAGTTAGCGATCTTGAAGGTGTTGAAGTTTATCAAGATGATCTCATTGCTCATGGTTCTTATAAGATAGTTCATGACCAGAGACTTATTGCTTTATTGCGTCGTTTAATCGAGAGGAATATTACGGTGAATCTAAATAAGTGTCCATTTTGTGTATCTAGTTTCGAACGTCTTGGATACCTAGTTGACGGTAATGGTTTTAGACCAGATATGAAACGACTAACTCCACTGACAAACGCACCGTCTGCAAAAAATCTTACAGAACAACCTTCACTAACGGGCTCTCTTCAATACTATTCCCGTTTTATTCCTAATATTGCTTGTCGTGCCAATTGTTTATTTAATATTTTGACATCGAGTTCATTCAAATTGAGTGAGGAACAACGGTCGTGCTTATGAAGTCTACTAAATTTCCTTCAAAGTGATGCTGTGCTTCGAACTTACTCCCCTAGTGTACATTCTGCACTTATTACTGACACATCAACTGTGGGCATTGGTTCAGTTTTGGAGCAGGAAGATAGACCAGTTATCTGTGCTCTACTCAAACTTACTGTTACTGAATAAGGTTATTCACAAACTCAGCGATAAGCATTGGCTGTGTTTTGGGCTGTTGAAAGACTTTATAAATATTTATTTGGAAAGAGATTCACTATTGTTACTGATTATGAAGCTTTAAAGTCTATTTATCATCCTGAAGAATTCTTAGCACGTTCCTCAGCTGCTATGGTTCAACTATGGAGTATTGCTTTAAGTGTCCATGACTATACGGTTCAACACAGGCGTGCCAAACGAATTCAACAAGTTGACTACATTTCTTGACGATCATTACAATATAGACCTGTTAATACTTCATACTGTTTGTTAGTGCAACCTTTGTCGATGAGACGTCCAGATCTCATTAGAGGAACTCGTAGATACTTTGGATGTATACTCAGTGCTTTGTGGAAAGGTTGGAATGCTAATTTGAAACGTAGATTTGTTAAAGCGGGGTGAGTTGTCCACTATTCCTGATGGTATTTTGTGTTTGAATGATCGTGTTGTTATTCCTCCTTCATTGCGTAAATCTGTCCTTGGAGATCGTCATAGTGGACATTTAAGTGTTGAGAAAATGAATTCCTTGGCAAGGCTCACATGTTGGTGGTCAGAGATAAGTGCAGATATATGTCGTACAGTAAAAAATTGTGGAAAATATCATAAGTTGAAAAGCTAGCCATCAAAGTAGGCTCCATGGCTAGTATCGTCTGAGGCCAGGCAGAGAATTCATACAGACTATGATGGTCCACTTCTTGACAGATACTATGCACTTGTAGTCATTGATTATTTTTGAAGTGGCCTGAAGTTTTTCTCACAACCTCACCAAATTCTGACTTTACAATCCAACAATTAAGAAAGTTGTTTAGTCGAGAAGGGGTTCCCATGGTTCTAGGGACTGATAATGGCTCTCATTTTGCTGCGGATGCAATCACTACCTGGTTGAATGATATAGGATGCACACATCTGTTTACTGCTCCCATGCACCCTTGTTCTAATGGTCAGGCAGAAACGTTTGTCAGGACATTGAAAACTTCCATTGCTTCTATTGCTGCTTCAAGACTTAGTGAACTGAAGAGGAGAGTATACACATTTCTACCGTAATATAGAAATGCTAAACATTCTGTAACGAAAGAGACTCCATCAAGGCTTTTAAAAGTAAGAATTCCTCGTCCAAATATGAAGTGTTTGGAGTTTGTAGAAGTTACATATTATTGTTGAAATGATCTTCGACCAGCCACGGGGTTGTGGTTAAGAATATCGGGAAATCTATGGTGCGAATTCTAGATTTCAATGACTTAAATATACACAACCGACATGTTGATCAAATACAATTCCAGGATCCAGGCGAGTCCATTCCAATTTTCGTTATTAATTCTAATACTAATGATTACATTCTAGATAATACAGAGTCTATATCCAGTAAACTATCGGACAGACATAGGATGAACTTAAGGCAAAGACGTACAATGGATTACAGAAAGTTGGACTACAATTTAAGCTGTCACGGATGTGGTGTTTGTGTGAACTAATGATTCCTTTGTACTTGATGATTGCTTGATTTCGAGTTCCAAATAAAATATGTTGGTTCGTGGTCACCTAGTTCTTCTTGGTTAAATTGCGTCATTTCTGGAATTCCTAGTTTGCATTATGATTCAAATACTCCTAATCATCACATGTGAGCACTATTTCGGTGAACGTTTGTCTTGTGATAAACTTCATTCATGTAATTCATGTGCATTTCATCAAGCTGTAAGCTTCAAGTGTGGCAAAATGGGACACTTCAAGTCGATCGGCAAAACTACTGTTCACTTCGCCACTACCAATATTAAACTCTGTAATTCAGATCGTAATAATTTGGATAATTCTAATAATTATGTACTATCCTTACTTCCAATTTTGTGTATTTGTGGTATTTGTAAGAACTGATGAAAGACATGAAGAGAATAGAACAGAAAGCTAAAAGCAATCAAAATAAAGACAGGAATGAATGAATGAATGAATGAATGATGAAGTCTGTAAGAGATAAATGACATAAGATCTGCAGATGATGTATTTAATGTACGGTTCTCATATTCTATGAACACACTCTGTAAATTTGCACTAGATAGATTGATCTTTCTCACCTGAATTCTTCTCTCATCACGGTGGTTCTTCGAAAGTTTCATTGTGAAATGAAATAGGCTTATCTGGAAATGCCAATTTTTTAGTGAGCTGTAGGCATCCTTTTCGATAAATGTAAGGAAATGGAGCCACAATTTTATCATTTCTAACATCTTTACTGGTCATACTACAGATTTCAAACATTTCGATTTAATCCTTGAAAGCTTCCGAATTCGAATGTATATCCAACTGCCAAATTAAAGGCTCCATCGCGACGCCATAATAATAATTAGAAGTATCCAACCTGATTTGATAACTAAGAATTCCCGAAATAGTGCAATTTAAGGTGGATAGAACTAAATAAACACAGCTGAACGTGTTATATTTTGAATTCGTAATAAGCTCTGAATCGAGTGCAAAGGGATCATTATTTAGTACAAATACCACAATTATATATCGATTATTATATTATGAGGACATCTGCGAAGTCCAAATCGTCTAATTGATTTTGAGCTGTCCATTGTATTCCGTGTTTTCCTTCAGATGTCGAGGTCTTCATAATCCAGTCGACCACCAGAAGAAAAAGGAAGGAAGAGAGTAGACAGCCTTGTCTGACTCCTGTCCTTACTTGGAATTCATCTGTCAGCTGTCCTCCATGCACGACTTTGCATTGTAGTCCGTCGTATGAGTTCCGGATAACATTGACAATCTTCTCTGGAACTCCGTAGTGTCAAAGAATTTTCCATAACTTCCTCCTATCTACACTGTCAATGAAGTTGATGTATAGTGACGAGTTCCACTCAACTCATTGTTCGACGATTATCCGTAGTGTTGCAATTTGGTCTGTGCACGATCGATCCTTACGGAATCCAGCTTGTTGATCTCGAAGTTGAGCGTCTACTGCATCTTTCATCCGGTTCAGCAACACTCTGTTGAAGACCTTGCTCAGATCTCCTTTCTTTGGAATCTTGACGAGGTGCCCTTCTTTCCAGTCCATCGGCACTTGTTCCTCCTGCCAAATCTTTTTGAATAGAAGGTAAAGCATGTTTGTAGTTACTCCGATGTCTGACTTCAGTGCTTCAGCTGGCATGTTGACGGGTCCCGCTGCTTTCCCGTTCTTAATTTGTCTGACAGTCATTCTGATTTCTTCCATCGTTGGTGGGTTGACGTCTATGGGAAGATCTGTGTGTGCTGCTTCGATGTCCGGTGGATTCATTGGAGCCGGCCTATTCAGGAATTCCTCGAAGTATTCTACCCACCTGTTCCGCTGTTGTTGAATTTCAGTGATTGGCTTGCCTTCTTTGACTTTGACCGGTCTCTCTGGTTTACTGTATTTCCCTTCTAGTTTCTTCGCTGTGTCGTAAAGCTGTTTCATATTTCCTTCTCTAGCAGCTTTTTCAGCCGTCGTTGCTAGTTCTTCCACGTACTTCTTCTTGTCGGTTCTAATGCTCCTCTTCACTTGCTTGTTTGCTTCTGTGTATTCAGCTTGTGCTTGGACTTTCTCTGATCGTGTTCGGCTGTTGTTTATTGCTGCCTTCTTGTTCTTCCTTTCTTTGATCTTGTCCATAGTTTCTGTAGAGATCCACTCCTTATGATGGTGTTTCTTTAGGCCCAGAATCTCTTGACACGTTGAAGTTAATGCTTCTTTGCTGCCTTTCCAGTTGTCTTCCATAGTAGTTTCTTCTTCTTTCAGTAGATCTCGTAAGGCTTGGAACCTGTTGTTGAGAGCTATCTTGAATTCATTGAGTCTGTCAGTATCTCGAAGGAACGCTGTATTGAACCTTTGTATTGCTGTTTGTCCACTTGTCCAGTTCTTTTTTAGCTTCAGTTTTAAATTGGCTACAACTAGGTGGTGATCTGAAGCTATGTCAGCACCTCTCCTGGTTCTCACATCTTCCACTGTCCTTCGAAATTTTTTGATGATGCAAACATGATCTATCTGGTTCTCTGTAGTGTGGTCCGGTGAGATCCATGTAGCCTTGTGTATACGCTTGTGTAGAAATATTGTGCCCCCTGTGACCGATTTGTTGAATGCACATAGATTTGCAAATCTTTCTCCATTTTCGTTTCTCTCTCACAGTCAGTTCATATCCAGTGTTGTGTATTCCGACTTTGGCATTTAGATCTCACGTTAGAATGGTGAGGTCCTTTCTTGGGCATTTCTCAATGACTGACTGCAGCCGCTTGTAGAATTGATCTTTAATGTCGTCGTTGCTATCATTTGTGGGTGCATAACATTGGATAATATTCATTGTGATCCCCTCCTTCCTTGTTTTGAATGATACTTTGCTGATTCTGGATCCGTGAGATTCCCATCCTACAAGTGCATTTCGTGCTACTTTTGATAGCATTAGAGCGATTCCCTGAGTGCGTGAAGCATTGTCCTCTTCGTGACTGGAGTATAGCAGCATCTCTCCCGTAGCTAGCCTTTTCTGTCCAGCTTGAGTCCAGTGGGTTTCGCTGATTCCCAGTACTGCCAAATTGTATCTCCTCATTTCCGTTGCTATTTGACTGGTCTTCCCGGTTTCCCACATTGTTCGGACGTTCCATGTACCTACAAAAATGTTTGCTCTGGTTTTTAGAAGGGGCATCGTCCTCGTGGCTTCTGAAGGAACTCGGTTTTCACCATGAAGCGTCATAATTCTTCTAAATGAAGACCTTCTAACTCCCAGGGCAGAGTTAATGTGGTTGAAATTAATTTTTCTCGTAAGCGTTTTTTTACCGAGTTAGTTTTCTACGGGATGGGGACGCTAACCCCATGCCCAACCCTCCACCCTTACCGCGCATGCGATCGGCAGTAACTCTAGAAGAGCTATAGGAGGAGTTGGAAACAGTAAGAGCAGATCAATATTTCAAGCAACTAGTGGAGTAGAATTACCTACCAATCTTCAAATATTTGAAATTTATAGTCTTTGGTGTATTGAAATTATAATTTCTGTTCAACCTCAAGCTTATCCTGTAGTTATGTAAGTCAGATGCAGTACAACACGTACATGGGAGTATGGCAACAAAAATTTCGAATTCCTAAGCAATGTTGAACATGGATTACAGCAATATTACTTCACAACAATTAGTAAAGTTTCCAAATAATTTTGGTTAAAAATACTTTATATTGAGAAGTCGTTCAGAAGTGTACCAATGTTGAAAACCCATCAGTGCATAGAACCAAACGGATTTAGAAAACAGGCATAAATCTAAGTACGAAAGCTTTTTAAGAATCAATAAATGTACCAAGTATCACAAATTTAACCAGTAAACGTTATCGATTATAGAAGACGTTGATTCCAACAATCAAGTTGCGGATTCCAGATTATTTATGTGATAAGTAAACAGACTGGTGAAAGGAATATTTCAGAAATACTCTCAGCAAAGTACAGTTTGGAATGAATTATCGTCTGAATACATGCAGTACGTATCATGAAATTTTGAGAATTTCGATCGCTTTACACGAAAATCACAGTTTTCTAGTTCAGTTTTCACCAAACGACCTAAGTTACCTGCTTTCAACTTATAAGAAAATGAGCCGAACACACAAACAGTCTGTTGACTGTGCTTTTGATATCCTTGCCAAGTAACCATGAATGTGTATAGAAGTAAAATTATCAAGTACGACGTCACTAATTGTCATTTGTGACTTGTCGTGAATAGCATTAGTATGGAAGCACCAGGATTTCACTAGAATTCGGTAGTGTTTTCTAGAGAGTTCTGGTAAATAGGGTGTAATGTGTGTCGACACAGATCAAACACATATGGACGTAGACTAGACAGGACGAGAGAAATCTAGAACTTTCGAGAAAATGTCCTTCAATGACCAATCAGATTTGGACTTAATTATATTGTAGAAATATTAGCGTTCTGATTGGTTGATACTTGTTTAGAGGTCATTGAATAATTTCTCACCCACCACTATATAAGTAAGTTAGACAGTCGAGCATTCAACCCATAGTTGTTGTACTATTGTACTACTGTTATCGTATTAAGTATGTCTGGTGGGCAACAGCATCAAGCAGTTAGTATTCCTGTGAATCGTGAGCAACGGTCATTTGAGAGGCAGAGACGTGACCTGTTAACTGGCCTGGAACACGGAGGTGGTACTCATCGTGGCAACCTAATCGCACCGTACACGGAAGACTGGCCGAGTACTGTGGACAGCTGGATCAACTCCTCGTGGAGGAGATGGGATGAAGACATGAGACGTTTGAGACGTGGAATGTTCGCACTATTAGTGAGTTTTGCTATTCAGTATTCAGGTGACCATTAATGCGTATGATTTCCTGAGATAATGTTTATCATTTGTGTATGTTAGGAATGCAATAATGCATTGTGTGAGCAGATTTCGCATTAAATTCGAGGAGAGATTTGATGAGCTCGGTATGTTCTTTGAATTTCAGCCGTTGGACAACTTTACCCACGGGATTTGGGAAGATCCATTCGCTTTAATGCACCAAATGGATCGTCATATCCAGGATATCCGAGAGAGAATGGGCTCAATGGATGTTCCGTCGACCGGTTCAGTGAGTGACTTTTTGAAGGACGCCTACGAAATAGGTGAGGATGGCAAGGTGAGTCCGTGCTGACGAGCAGGTAGGTTGTGTTTAGTGTTTTGTGCAGTTGGTTTGAACATGGCCGTTGATTGACGAGTGTTATTGTGGTTGTTGTTTATTGCGTAGGTACATTTCAAGGTACGATTCGATGCACAAGGTTTCGCTCCTCAGGACATCAATGTGACGTCGAGTGAGAACCGTGTGACGGTACACGCGAAGAAGGAGACGACGACCGATGGTGGGAAGTGTAGTCGGGAGTTTTGTCGTATGGTGCAGCTGCCGAAGAGTATTGATGATAGTCAACTGAAATGTCGCATGACAGATGTAAGTTGTTGAGTTGACAACTGTGGTTGCTGGTGGTTTTGTGTGTGTTGTATTTGCAGTTGTTTGCATTCCGAATCATGTTAGAATAGTTGGAAATTTCGTTTCATTTTGTTCTGTGCGTTTGTTTGTCTGTCTGTTTCAGGATGGTGTTTTGATGTTGGAGGCTCCAGTGAAGGTTGATCAGAACCAGTCGTTGACGCTGAACGAGTCTGGTCAGGTGGGTGTTCGACCGAAATCGGACAATCAGATAAAGGCAGTTCCTGCGTCGCAAGCACTTGTTGCAAAAGGTGAGAGGAGTTGTGATTGATTTAGATGTAACATGTGCGTGTTGATGGTGGTCTGGTGGGTGTGTTATTCTCGTTTGTGTGTTGAATTTTGTTAACATTGTGTTTTTTTCCTATCCATTTCAGGTGTTCATGGTCTGTCGTATGTGGATGATGGTTCAGGTGGCAAGCGATTGCATGTTGAGGTTCCAGTGGACCCAGTGTACAAGCCTGAAGACTTGTGTGTGAATGTTGATTCGAATCGTGTTGTGGTTAGTGGACGTCATCATAAGCAGAAGAGTGATCGATATGGAAAGTCAAGTTCATTTGCAGAGTTCAGTCAGTCGTATGCGATTCCAGAGACAGTTGATCCGTTATCTGTTTCTGCTCAGGTAGTTGGCAATACATTGGTATTGGAGGCGCCATTGGAGAAGCAACATGCAATTACTCACTAGAAGAGAATATGTTTTACTAAACTAATCGTTGCTTAATGTTAAAATATTGATGTGATTTTTCTGAATAAATATTTTTAAATTTCATTCGATCCCATGTTATTTATTTCGTGATCAGCGTATGCAGTTGACTAGTTGAACGTTTTCTTTCTGGTGTGCGGTTGATAAGACGATAGTTTTGTTTTGGTTTACATGTTTTTCCTGCGTTCAGATTCTGTGAAATTGATTTTTCATTGGGATTTTCGTGACTTCATGCTTGTTGATGTTGTGAATGGAGAGTGGACGTGGAGTAGTAGAAGACGTTTGATGAGTGTGTGAATTTTATAATTTTATACGAGGATTATCTAGATGTATATGTCAATAGCACTGGGAAACGATCTCACTGTAGTCAGATCCCGGGCCACTAAAATATAATAATTTCATTTGTGCTCATTTAGTTCTACATGATTTAAATTGCACTATTTGGGAAATCCTTAATTAGTACGTTGATTTGAATACTTCTGGTTATCATAATAAAATATCTGGTATGGAATTATGAAGTAATTGACTACGGCTGTATTGAGCATGCATGTAATCATTTAATCACCAAAACTACCTACACTCAATAATACATTTACAACAACCATTAGATACGATGACAGTTCGCCGTCTGCTTGGAAGGTGCACATTTATGAATCTATTGATTACGTGGTCACATTCGGTTCTTAAATCAAATACTTTTACTCCTTAAAGCTACACGCTCTAATTTATTGATAGTCAACATTAAAAGCTTTTAGATTCCACATGCAAATACAAGCTGTACACAAACCAAATTACTGACGGTCATCGGTACGCATCGTGGTAGTAAACGATGTCGCAGTAATTCAAAATCCTACAGCAACTATGAAATATAGCAAGAAACTTCATATAAAATTGATCAGCGCTTAGTACTAGTGTGAAGTTTAGAATTTTAAGATGAAGGATCTACTGTGAACGTTGTGGACGCCGTATGAGTGGAAAAATATCTGGGAATCGAGAAGGCTTTATATATTGTAGAATGGAGAATGGAACGTAAAAACACATGACATACTATATACCATGGTTTATGGAAACGGCAGAAGTGATGCATGGATCTGAAAAGTTAACAAGATATTTGGTGAAATTTCAACTGAGCATAAAAAATAACTTCGAATTAAATATCACTGATGAATGTATGATTACTCGGTACGACTAGAACGCATGGACGGTGTCTGAGTGATACTAAACTAAATTTGAGAAACTCCGACCACTTGGTAGTTTCAAAATAGGATCAGAAATTAGAGTGATGAATTGGGATCAAGAGTCAGAGTAAGGCATTTTACTACGACTGACATCAGTTATAATGTCGAGACGTCACTCCATCATATGGATGGATAAATTTGGCACCAGAATCCAAGTGTTTTGTGTGTGGTGTGTAAATGAACTAATGATTCCTTTGTATTTGTTAAATGTTTGATTTCAACTTCTAAATACAGTACATTCATTCGTGCTTAACTAAACGGTGCTTAACTGAACGGTAGATTAGAGGACAGCGAGTTATCGGTCAGACCAAAGACGCGCAAACACGTAAGAACGGCCTAGGGTTCAGCTTATGTAATCAAGCAGGATAGATCCCCAAAACTCATATTTGTAATTTTATCATATCAATTAACTTATCGATTAAATGTTTAAATATTCGAATGGCAGTCAATTGATGAACTTATCGATTAAATGATTAAATAGTAGTCAATTGACGAACTTATGGTTTAAATATTTGAATGCATGTCGATTGATGAACTTATTGAATAATGTTTAAAAATATTTTACTATGACAATATCGATTGTAAATATTTGTATGAGTACGCTTGACTTGTGTTCCTGATTGATCTGACTTGACCTGACTTAGTATCTGCTGTTTGCCTGTAAAATAAACTTTCTACGCCTCACCCAGATTTCTTGATCGCATTAGCTGAGTCGGGGACAACGGACCAGAATAGTCTATCGAGATTCTGAATCCCTTGATCTGATCGACAAGTCACTGCTGTCTAATCGGCGGCCCTTTGAGATATAACACATGTGTCCCCCGTCCTTTAAGTGGTGACTAGTAGGAAACGCCTGGAAAGCGCAATCGCAAGGTTCGATCGGTTTCTAGCGGGAAGCACAACCTGACTGCCCAAGTCGTCGATAACCTCCCGGAATCCCACAGTGCGTTTGACGCGACTGTGGCTGCTACTCGAACGAAATTTGATGAATGGGTACAGATTGAGAAGAAGAAACTTTATGACGCTATCAAAGAACAGCAACTAAGCTGATTCCTGGAATAGTGAAGCTCCCGTGTGATGCTCGACGGGCTAAACTAAACCTATTCCCGTTGTCATATCGAAGAACTAGAGGTGACCTGACTACAGTTTTTAAATTACTTAGTGATAAATTTGCACCTGATATGTCCTCATTTTTTGTCTTCCGAAAGAGAGAATTTACGAGGACACTCCACAGAAATTCACGAGCCCAGAACAAATCACTTGTCAGCTGACTATCGACTTTCCCATCGAATCATCAACATGTGATTGAAGCTCCATCTGTCGACTCTTTCAAAAGAAAGTTGGATCAACTGAGAGACCATCATTGCGACGAATAACACAGGCCAACAAGCCTCCTGTCCTTTTCAAACTGAAACTTAAAAAGCCTTACGTCAACGCTCGGTTACCTGGACCTAAAATTTACAAATAAATTCCCTCTATAATTTGTCATTTAAATATACAAATATCTATTTAATTTCACTATATTGAAAACTATGAAATCACAGTACACGAATTATTTCGTTACTAGTCGACTAAAATTCTGATCATTTTGACTGGTAATTTAACACCCATAACTTAGAAACGAAATGACCGGAACCAATTGGTTTGAAACCAGTTCCAACTGCTTATGGCTTCCATTAAATGATAATTCCGTTGATATAAAAGTATTAAAACACAGAACAATAATTAAGAGGATCAAGAGGTAGTCAGATTCGGATATTAGTTACAAAGAAAATGTGTCCTTGGGTTGTACGCAAAACGTTTAGCAACGTTGTCCGCTAATTAGGTAAAACAACAAATCAGTTCGACCTTGAGTTTCTACTACCCTACAAACTCCTAGAATATTTATGAACGTGTTTGTCTATGTATTATCGTTTATTTGATTGGACTATAAATTGTGATAGATAAACACATCACATGTACGAATATAAGAGCTATAAATCATATGACTATCTGTATCATTTTGTTTTTCAATCTTTCATTGTTGCTTTACGTGAAGTCTATTTTTAACAAGCTGTTGGATGATGTTGAAAAATAACCATCAACAAAAGTCAGTAGACATACCGATAAACCAGGAGCCGAAAACGTTTGAACAACACAGGCGTGAAATGCTGACCGGATTACAGCATAGACATAAAGGAAGAAAACGACCTAAGCTTGCAAATACTCCACACACTGATACGTGGTCGGATGTGATAGATAATTGGGTTGATTCATCTTGGCGCAGTTGGGATGATGAGATGCACAGACTAAGGCGTGGGATGTTCGCGCTTTTGGTAAGTTTCTGAGCAAAAGTATCATAGTTTACCCAAATCTCATAACGATTAAAATTGTCTGAAAATGATGAGTTTAAATGTAGGCTTTGATTCACATGACGTTTTCTTACTACCTTTATATGAGTCAGGTATCAATCAAATAACAGTGATTATTTAACTTCCAATATTCACACTTATCTTATAATCTAACTTAGGGGTGGGAAGTTATGGGCTAAATCGTCAGATGATGTGAATGATGCAGTATGATAATAGTCTGATTCAACTATGTATTTTTTTTTATTTTAGCCTCTTGATATTTTCGGTCTGAGATCATCTTATCCAGACCCCTTTTACCTGATGAACCAAATGGAAGATGAGATTGAGGAGATTCGGAATCGCGTAGGCATGTGTAGAGTTCCAGGAATTGGTGCTCTAAATGACTTCTTGAAGGATGCTTATGAGGTTGGTGAAGACGGGAAGGTGAGTGATAAGTGTGTTGCATCTTAGGCTACAATGTGCCCATAATTTCTTTGTAACTGTAATTGAGGTTTTTATTACATTTCTCTATTTAATAGCTTTACTTCAAGGTACATTTCGACACGAAGGGTTTTACCCCCGACGATATCAAGGTTGACTCCACAGAGCATCGTTTGACAGTTCATGCGAAGAAAGTTTCAGAATCTGATTCATCAAAATCTTCTCGTGAGTTTTGTCGGATGATAGAGCTTCCTCAAACAATCGAACATAACCAATTGAAGTGTCGTTTGACAGAAGTAAGTATTGACAATAGTGTACTTATTTATAGCCATATCAGTCTCATGTGTTACGATCCTGATAACTTATTGAACGAGACCTCGAGTGATAGTGAATAACCTTGAAATCATTTTTCCTTCTTGCTTGTCAGTAAGCTAATAGATCATCTAAATCAATAACTTGTCGCTAGAAAAGTAATGAAGCCTGTACTATGTGATAATTAAAAACGACTCTTGTACTTTCCAAGATTTGTAAACGGTTTACTCTATCTCAAGAGACACTATCTTCGCTTTAGGGTTCACTCATTTATACGAACATCGATTTACACCTAAATCCTTTTTAAGGTCGTAAGTACGAATTAAAAAACAATATCTGGTGGTTTTCACAATGTCAGATGATTTCCCAAAATGACGTTGGGATACCATGACCTGAGAAACATATAAATGAAAATCTCCACCTTTTCAAGGATAAGGGTAACAGAACTGTGGTCATTCTACGATGCATCAGTAATGACATGATTTGATTTGCCATGAACAAAGGAAAATATGGACTTTTTGAATTGTTCCGAGTAAACTCCCCATCAGAGGAGTAAGCTGTTCGTATCATTTTCACTTGGTCCGATAGACTTTTTCCATCTGGCCTAAGCGATGTAAGTACTAACTAAAGATGCTCTATGCAAAGTTCTTCATAAGGTGTAAACTTACTGACTTTGGTTTCTGAATTTAACTTCAAAAATAAAAGACTACGTGACATTGGTTGCCTCGTCACTATAGTGATGGTCCACCACAATATGTTACGTTCTATGTACTAAACAAATCAATATGCTAAGTGACGATATTTACTTTGTTTTCTGTAGGATGGCGTTCTTATGTTAGAGGCTCCTGTGAAAGCCCCCGACTATGAGTCAATCACATTCACGGATAATCGTCGACTTGGGATTCATCCAAAGTCAGCAGATCAGATCCAGTCAGTCCCAGCATCAAAGGCACTTGCTGTGAAAGGTTGGTAAATCGACTGACTAACGTTGGAAAGATTTTTGGTATGGTTGTGAGATTTAAGTCTGTTAGTGGCAGTCGCTCTTTTTATTGGCTGGAGATATGAAATATGGTATTGATTTTGGATAGCTACTTAAGTGTTTTTCTCCCCATGTTTTTTCAGGTGTATCTGGTCCAACAATTTTAGACGATGAAGTAAATGGAAAGCGTCTGCATTTAGAAGTACCCGTGGATCCAGTGTATAAACCCGAGGATTTATGCGTAAATGTAGATTCCAAACGTGTTGTCGTATCAGGAATAAGTTATCAGAAAGACAGTGGTTATTTTAACAAGAAAAGGAGCAGTTCGTATGCAGAGTTCACTCATTCGTACGAAATTCCAGAAACAGTAGATCCGTTATTAGTGACAGCTCAACTAATTGACAATAGATTGGTTTTGGAGGCTCCTTTGTTAAAACGGCACACAGTCAGTTATTAATCTATTTGATATAAATATAATAGCATTGTGCATCGGTCGATAAAATCTTTTGTGTGAATTATTTCGAACGAATTTCTTAATTACACTTGTATGTAACGCTTTTGGGTACACGCAAACGTGTAAAATGTATTTGGTAATAAATCTTATATACTCTAAGTGCTTGCATTAGTTTTGAAATTTGTTGTGGGTTTTTTATGCGTAAAAAGAAACTAGATATCTATAATCATTTTTCGGGTGAACTAAAGCCATTAACATAACCATTGAATTATAATATGGCTGTTTGTTGTGGAGCTTCTTTAGAAGACAATATTAGTGTCTCGATTGTGATTAATATCTATCATATGAGAAAACAGAATTAAAATACTCATTAATGCGCAAGTATCACTCACTAATATTGCATCAATAATAATTGGTTGTTAAATTTATAGTTAATTATCTTAATGGTGAATCAAATGGGAAATATTATCACGTTATCAAGACTACTGAAATTTTTAACCTTAATCCTATCCTATTATCTATATTTACATATAATCACATTTCCCAAGAAGTATATTAAAAATACGAGAAGGATATATTTTTCTAATCAATTATAGTAAAACAGACTGATATTTCTAGGTCAAATGAAAATATAACTTACTAGTTTCTAACTAACAAGGGATGAAACATGGAACAGAAAGAATTAGTTCCAATCACCATTTATGATTAATAAATGGAGCTGAAAAAAAACAAAATCTTAATATCTCAGTCAAATATATACAATTTTGTCGTTTGTAATATTTAATATTGGATAAATGAAGTAAAATTTCATTTCACTATATTTATTGATTAACGTTGAAATATCCCAGTAACCAATTAAATGACATACTATATTGTAATAAATATGAATAGCTGTACCAATAAATTTTCTACGTAATAGAAACCAATTAAAATCAATATAGTTAATTATGTAATATTCTTTTTTCTAAGTCAGTTACCAATTCAATATTACTTATCAAATCGATATAATCATAATAATAAGTTTTATGAATTTGATGCGAAAAAATAAATTAAGTTGTTTAAAAGTATTAAAAAACTATATATTATTATTACAGGGTTGTGAAGATTATTAGGTTCTTGCTGAGAGCATGGATCGATTAATGTTGGACCACCATTAAGAACCTGGAAGCGTTGGACGGCCGTTTCGTCCTAGTATAGGACTTCTCAGCAGTAAGCGTCTGCGATCCCGAATACAGGAATCGAATCTGGGACCATCAGTTTCGTGCCAACTCTTAACCTCTAGACCACTGAACCAGCATTCCACGGTATTAATGTCTAACTTGGACCAATCTCCTATGGGTAACTGCCTCAAACCCAACACGGTTGAATTTCACTGGTCAAAGCTTCTCATGAGAATAACCTTTTGAAGCTAGTCATCAGTGGCCACATGATAATTATCTGTATAGCGTTGTGGAGATTGTTATGTTTTTACTGAGATTATGAACTAATCATTATTAGGTTACCACTGAAAACCTGGAAGCACTGGACGGCTGTTTCGTCCTAGTATTTTTTTTATACTCCGATGAAAACTCTTAAAACTTATTATGAAAGAATATTGCAGTGTATTCACAGTGAAAATCTGCAAGTAAAGTTAAATCTTTAAAAGAAAACGTAACTGACAACATTTTCAAAGATTCAGCTATTAAACAATTTGGTCACTTCTAAATAAGTAAATTCATTAATATTTCACTATACCAAAAACAATAAATGTAAAATGATTAATATGAATCAAATTATTACATGAATTCTCTGTGCATGATTACAGAAAGGTAATGACATACTTTATTTCATGCTTACACTAAAACTATAATCAAGATTGAAGTGAATTTATAGGTAGATTAATAATTAAAAAATAATAAACGCAATAAATGTGGTGAAATTTTTATAAATTGTTTATACAATTAATTATTCATAAGTTAACTATATAAGATAAATATATGAATTTATATAGAAGAATAGAAAAGACTGAATCATAAAGTGATCTGAAATTGAGAAGATCTAAAGAACGTTGAGTAATGATCAAGGGATTAGTGAAGATATAGGAGGATATATATATATTTATATATATTGATCGATATAGACTTGGACATTAAAGTTTACTATACTATCGGCCTTCAGAGACTCGTGAATAATGACCTTGAGAGTGCAGTTTATGTGAATGGATAATTTAATACAACAACCCATAAGATATTAGAAATTTTGATTAGAAGTAGAAGTTGTGGTAAAAAATTGACTTGGGAGTTTGAGTTATGTTTAGCAATCAATCTGACTGTTAGAATACAAATGTAATACAGGCCTTTAGAGTAATGATAAAACAATGATTCAGAAAATATTTTGTAGTCCAATATGGATGAATAGTGATAAAAATATTTCTTTGATTTTAAACATCCAGAACCTTAAAGTTAGCTGGATAACCAATTTAGTGCAAAATCTCAATACTTGGTATCTTAAGTGTGATTGACTCGTCAGTGTAGTATACTTTTACCAATTAGGATTTTTACAAGTCAAATGAGAGATCATTATGTAAAATGATCATATATGTCATGCAAAATTTAGCGCATCCAATTTGGCTTTTATAAATAGGTAGGTGTAGACTACCTGGCTGGGGTCAGTGAAATAATTATCACTAATGTTTACAGACTTTGTGCCATAATCGTTCATAATAACACAAGTGTATTCATTGACTTTCCTTAGATCCTAAGTCTTGCGATTATCTTACAATATTTTTTATTCAACAAATCCACATTTTCTTGTCGACTTATGCCTGTTATGCCTCATATTTTTTACTAGCACAACTGCTATTATTATTTATACTACTCAAGTACTTTCCTGTTTTTGATGTGGTTTGGCCACTTGAACTGATACACACTTGCGTCACGTTCTACGTTATGTATGGCTGATTGATTAGATGGCTCGTGATACTTTATAACACAGCAGAGTGCTCCGACAAAAATTACATCGTCTAATAAATGTATTTAGAAACATTAACCAGTCCAAACTTCAAGGCTTGTTTAGACGGATACCAGGTCTTTTGTTCAATAATGTTGTAATCGCTTCATAATTTGTGTGATATGGGTTTGATTCCTTATAAGTTCATGTTTATATACTGACAAAAAGTACCAACTTAGATGAAATAATTGCTCATTGAGTTCTATTTTCAATAGTTCTCCAGTTAGTAGCAGTTGGTAATGTTAGTACCACGTATAACATACAAAGTGTAAACAAAATCATTTGAGTAAGCTCTAGTTTATTTCAATATTAACATGCTCTTCACTTACAAATTTCGATAAAATTTCAATCTATATCAATGTGATTTCTTGCTATATGATTATAGATAATCATGTTCATTCTTGCATGAATTTTCTAAAACCAACACATGAATGAACTGATCTTAACATCTGTAAATGGTAATGATCTATGTTTTTGTGTATTTCATCTAAGATTTTATATCACACAATGAGTTTCACTGAATACTTAGTTATGTATGAATAAAATACAGATTTGTAAATGTAATTTATATATTATAGTAAAGAATAGATTTCTCATCTTATTAAAGGACTCTTTATTAAATATATATTTCTGACGTAATCAGTCATACAATCCTAATACTATCAGTCTGAATTCTGCATATATAAGCTTGAATAGATAAATATGTTACCAAGCAATTCATATCTGATAGCCAGCAGATTGTTAGCTGTCCACAGTTACCTGTGGTTTTTCAGATTCTGAATTACTGAATTTGCAGTGCCTAAGAATATTTACTCCACCTATAATCAACGTTGTTAACGTGCCACCAACTAGTCTTATCCAAGATAAGTAGAAAACCTAGCATGAAATAAATGTGTATTCATGGTCCACTGAATCGAATATTTTCATCTGTTAATGAAAACCATTATTACCTTTTCGGTTCTCCCACCGACAGTTTGCGATTCCCTCCCACAAATCAGAACATTTTAGCTGTATAATAACACAGATGTATGTAATATAGTAGGGGTAATTGCATGATAACTATAAGCGAAGTATTCAATGAGAGACAATCAAAGTCATAATTTTCAATACAAACATCAAGACAGTTAACTGTACAGAACCGAAACTTGGAGAAATACATCAATCATCACCAAAAGAGTAAAAGTATATGTAAACAATTATCCACGTAAGATACTGAGTGTCCGTTGGCCGGATACCACCAGCAACAGCCTACTATGGGAGAGAACAAACCAGCTTCCAGATGAAGAGGAGAGGAGAAGACACTGGGAGTGGATAAGACATACATTGTGGAAATCACCAAACTGCAGTATGAGGCAAGTACGAACTTGGAAACCTGAAGGGAACGAAAAGAGGAAAATCAAAGAACACACTGAGTTGGTAATTGGGCGCAGACATGAAAGGGATGAATAGCAACTAGAAAGAAGTGGAAAGGATTGTCCAAGACAAAGTTAGATGGAGAATAGTTGTGAGCTGCCTATGCTCCTCCACTGTACCAGGGGTAAATAAAATTGTAAGTAATGTTAAGTGATACTTTAATACCACTTCACTGTATTGCGTTAAATCATATTTTTTTATCTCATAATCTACATACTTTCATTTTGCCTAGTATTTCTTTCTCTCGCAGTAACATGCAAACGCTTATCTAATCAATTCATTAACATTCATAAGTAACAAAAAACTATGTTTAAAACTGAAAGGATATGCTATAATTCCTAATGTTGGTTACCGAAAATGTCACACATATTATCCCGAAAAATGTGATTAGTGTTTTTTTCCCTTTATTTTCAAATTCTAACTTTCTTGCAAATCGATGCTTCAGATGTGATAACTGTATTTACGATGAAATAAATTTTGTTGATGATTATAAATGGAAGGAAAACACATGTCAGAGTTTAACTATTGATGAATAAGTAAGACAGAATAAATTCACCAGTTTAAGGATCATAATATCAATCAAAAGTGACCAATGTAGCACTAAACAGAAGAGGTCTCTTTCAATTTTGAAATGCTAAATATATACAAATTATTATTTGTTAAACAATAATTTTGAATGTAATCTCTTGAATAACACTAATGTTGAGTTCGACATCAGCCAAACAACTAAAACCATCTGAATGATGCAAAACAGCATC